GCAGTTGTGGTTAAGGATATGTGAGATTCGCGTAGGGTCATGTTGATATTGTGATCGATGACGTCATCAGTTCAAGCATAGAGTTCTGTGTAAAATCGGAGGATTAAAATTGAAACAAATTTTAGAATCAGTTACGTTTCTACTTCAGACAAGAAGGAAATTACGAAGCACGTATTTGTAATATATACACCAGGCGACGAACAGTATCCAGCATAAGTTTGGTTTGATTATTTATAACTACGTGCAATGTATGATCTGAACATTTAACGACGACTAATAACTTCTTCTCGGGCTATCAGCCTTGAAGGGTGTCTTAATGAAGAAAACACCAAAGTTTCGAGAACCATCTTATTAAACTACGTGCAGTATAGTATCTGTGGATTGATACATGTAATGCTAAATTCACATATATAATAACACAAAGGCCAATAGGTTATGAGAAATCGGAAACGCATTTAAAAGTATTCATTCAGACTGAAGGTCTCCTTTCCACTCTTATCAATTTTAAATTTCCGTATTCTAATGTGTTTATATTTTCGCACTTTTACTGGAATTCGAGCAAATTAATCTGACATAAACTTTGTAAGTGTGGATTGACTTATATGTAAATAAAATATGCATGGATATATGTAATAGGACAATCATGGAATGCCTAAGAGTCCAAAGCAAATGAGTTTCCTGTGCAGGAAGTACATGATTCAGCTCAAAAGATAACTCAAGGATCAGATAACGGACAGGAAGCCAAGTTCACGGACGTGTAATGGTTTGGAGATCTGGAGGAATATGAGTTTGGCGGTTGGTGAGGGTGGTGGCCGGAAGTTGGGTACTGGTGTACTCGTTAACGACGTACAGTTATATTAGTTCATTACAAAAAGCGAAAAATGAACCCATAACAGTGAAGTTCGTCTATCCGTCCTCGCAAGCCGGATCAAGGCCGATCAGTGTAAACACAGCAAAAGATTATGGGCTGTACGACAGCGGTACAGCGAACGTTCTGCAGTCGAGATCCGCTTTGGGGTACATCGAGTCCCTTAATCAATCGATATCTGATTTCTGTCCTCTGAAGTAAATAGGCCTCACCTTCATTTGGTAGATGTTTGCCAACGTTTCGGAGGTCATACTGCCTCCGTCATCAGGGCGCAACAACCCAGGAGACAGAAATCTTTATACTCACCGCTGTGAAAACCTCAAATCATACGTAATTGTTGATCTGTATTACACTAATCCTAAGCCTATGTATGTAACAATTTGTACCATTAACAATTTTTTGAGAAGACGGAATACGTTTATGTAAAGTACAGGTAATAATTGGCCTGAATGAGATTTCCCCAACATTTAGTGCACATTCTCAAGGCTAGTTTAAATTGGCCATCCTTGAACAGACTTTCATGGCATCACTAGGATCCCCTAAAATTATGTTGTTCTTTTTTGTGAAGATTACGTAGGTTCAATGTAGTCTATTCTAAATAGAGATCAGTTCGATTCAATCAGGGTTACTAAGAAGAACGGCTTATCCTACAGAATGTAGATAGTGATTGTAGGATAAAGGTCTCATTACTCTCTGCAACAATAACGTGGAAGAAAGTTGTTTAATGACTGTGTGATTTGATACCGATAGTATAATTAATTACCTTTGAAACAATGAGCATAATTCTATGAATTGATTCATACCTCTGATAATTGAACATCTAGACCAGTGAAATTTGAAACATCACAAAGGACGCAGACTGGAATACACCCCAGGCTTTTGTGCCTTGTGTTTATTGTGTTCATAATCGCTACGAACCAGTACAGTTGTGTCCTGCTCGCAATTGACACAGTTACTAGGGCGTATGGTAGCCAGACTCTCCCAAGGCAGTGTGAACAGAATGAAGATGCTTATTTTATGAGTTGTCTGATGAGTTTGCCGACGTTTATAAGGTCCCTGCTGCCTCCATTATCAGGGCTGTAAGTAACTGAAATCTCACAAGACAGGGAGTGTTATAATGTCCCAAAGCAACACTGGGAACAATTGCTTGATTATTAATTAACAATAAAATATTGTATTAAAATTGACAAATAATTACTTTCATTGACAAGAGCTTCTGAATAGACCACCTGGTGTTTAATATCTTTTTAAAATAATTTCCAGCTGGTTGCTATTATTCAAAATAACGGTATACTATCTTACCCATTGTGCTAACTAAGATAAATATGTTGTTTTATTTATATTTTAAAATTAATTTATTATTACTTAAATTAACGGGCTACTAAAATATTAATCTATTAGGAAGAAATGAAATATCAAGTGTGTTTTTTAATGCCATTAAAAGTTTTTACACGGATACATGCCCATTGTCTCGATTCTCCGGATTATTTCATTTTAGTAACTGATTTGACAATTCGAAACGTTGGAAGTTTCCCATTAGCGAGTTGTTTAAGCTAATTTCCTCTACAAAACGAAATGCAAGGCGTACATTCAGACAATACATGCCTGTGCCAGTTTTCCATACCCCTATTAGATTGAGATCAATATTTATTTCATTATAATGCATTTACTGACTGAACTGCTAATGCATATGAGGTACCCTTTAATCTGTTAGTCAGATGATGTGGGCTTATGATTACAGATTAAAAATAATGATTGATTTATTGAGTAATGCGACAATTAACGTTGCATTCCGTAGAAGGTGCAGTGCCATAATGAACCAACAATTGTTTAAAAATTCCTGAAGATATTTATGTTCAAACTAGGCGATCCTTTGATGTAAATCTCTCTCTCTCTCTCTGTGTATATATATATATATATATATATATATATTTATATAGTGTACCTCTACACCATGGAGCACGTTAGGTCTATGGTGGAGCATGGGACTCGTACGTAAGGGGTAGTAGGAATAAGTTCAAATGGAAACATTTTTCTTCAATACAATCGCCATGTTGTTTTATATTATAAAAGTAATTACTATATCAAATACTTGTAGTTTCCGAAAATTTATAATCGTACATCATTGTGTGGTCCTTTTGCAAATCAGTTCCACCCCACAAGTTTCTTCGTCCGCCATGTTCGTAGTGCCAATTGCAGGATTTTGGGACAGTCATCATTGGCATAACATCCACTTCAAATTTAATCGAAATCTGTCCAACAATTCGAGTTGAATCATTCTGACAGACGGATATTGGCCGTTCTTATACGTGTTCATGTCATGTAAAGAAAGCTTAAATGCAAATTCGGATTGTATTTGCTATTTCCAAGTAAACCTGTGAGTACTGTGACTCTAAACAGGATCCTGCCTACCGATGAGTGACCCAACCCTCCGAAGGAGTTTTCTCTCTTGCACTATAGGAAACCTGTGCTATTAGTGTCTTTTATTTGCCGTCGCCCAAAAATTACCGACGATTACCTTAACATCTAATATGGTTGTGTGCCTTATCCTTTTCCCACTTTTTCCTATCTCAGACATTATTAATGTTATCATATGCCCTTAATTAATGCGTTGCCAGTGGAACACCTGAGTCCAAATGTACTTAACAGCAGTCACAAGAGGTTAATTACACTGAGTGAGTGGGCGATTAAAGAAAATAAATAAAGCCCAACAGTAGCAAATGGTAAACTACAGTACGTTTTTAAGGGCATGTCAGCTCAATCCGTTTCCAAGTCTCCTTTATAGCCAAATGGTAGTTTTTTCATCTCTCAGGGTAAACAAGGATTATTTCCTTGAACAGCATTAACTAGTTAATATTTGTAATAGTGAAGTGTTGCGTCCGGAATGTATTTTTAAACGATATTTAAATGGGTCACAGCTTCAAAGTGTTAACTGAGTGATATTGTTTAGCAAACTAGTGATGGGAAATTATTTTATAATTGTAACATACGCAACACCATCCTAGCAACTGTAAACGCTACTCTGTAACCGATTTAAAAATACATTTAACAATACAACTAATGTAATAGGGCTTTAATATTTCTTAATATTAATGACAATATGTCAACCTAACCGTGCAATTTATGTAGTCTTGGAAGGATGAGTAATTTATATGTGATCTGAAGCTTTCATGGCGAGTAATAATATCTTCTTGGACTATCAGCCGCGTAACTTGCTTAGAAATCACCGAAGTTTAGAGTGTCATTTATCCCTAAAATTACAGCATTAATGATGGTAATGTAGTCCCTGAAAAGAAAAGATTTTTAACCAATGGACACGGCGTAACAAGATTTTATTAATTACTAGTTTGCGTTTGTAAAGAAGTGGAACACATGCAGACAAATGGGTCATTTGGCCCTATTTTTTTCTGATATTTATATTATATTTGTCAACAGACGAGATTTGCCCTACTAACTGCACAGAGATTGTAAGGTAATGGAAGTTTTGTTGTGTACAATTAGTTGAAAATAAGTGGGAAGAATGTACTCCTATTTAGTTCAAAAGTTACTGTCCCATAAGCATTTGGATGCATTGGAAAAACTGACTCCATGGTGCAGGGTCCTTCTCAAAAGCTGATAGTCGCTTAACAGGTCATCCACCTACCATGTTCAGAAGAACCCATCACTATTCCGTATCCTGATGCTATACTCTGTTTCCTTTGTATCCATTTTATTGGTTCATTCCATCTGCTCTTAGTTTTCTCAAGTTTCCTTTTGTTTCATGCTTTTAAAAGTAATTTTTGTACTAATCATGCTTCCGAAGCCATCTTCCTTTGTTTCGTCATGTTAACATTATTTACTAAAAGTAAGGTTCTGTTCCTGAGAATGGGAAATGGAACCAATGGGAAGTCGAAAAATCTGCGTGTATTCGCACTGGTTAGTTTCATAACAAAAACCAAAAAATGTGTAACAAATGGAATCACCATTGAACAATGCCATAACTCAAAGATTTGAGGCTTGGATTCAATTAATTAGGTTCGAAGACAATAATTCCTGATCTGATGATAATCTTAACGCTTGTTTCTTGTGGAAATGGAATTATCTTACATTTTCTTCCGTCGAAATCTTAATGGAAACTGCGTGTTCTTTGTAGGTACGCACGATGTGATTCTGTGCGTATAAGAAAATCCACTGACTGATGGGAGGTTATTGGATGCAAGGCAGCCAACTTGTAGAAGGAAATGACGTCTCAAAGTAAAGTAAAAGAAGAGATGAAGCACGCAGAGAGTAGCGAAAGGAAGGAAGTGGAGTGTACTGAATAAAGGACAAGAGAATACCTAATGAGCTGTTGTACGTGCAAGATTTTTGTTTCGATAAATGTGAAATTGCGTTACAAATAATGCTTATAGTCCAAAAGAACTTAAAATAACTTTGATATAGTTTTGAATATAAAACAAGTTTATTACAGCATTTATAATTAAATTTAATTCAAAACGTCTTTGCGCAGGAAGGATATACCAGTAGTTTCACCGATGTTAAACATCGTACCATTTTCAAAACAACGTTTACGGTCAAGAATGTTATTAATACTGAGATATATTTTTAAATCTTACCACCGATATTATTAACAGACATGCATTTAACAGCAGAAAGGTAAAGCTGATCCCTGCGGAACTCCAGACTTTACGATGTCAGAAAAAGAAGTCAGGTAACTGTGAAGTCAATTGACATAACCGGAGGAAAGTATGAACCTAATATGTTACTAAGAGAAAGACTATGGGAGATAATATTAAAAGAAAACGTAAATCAGAATACATGGAATCAGTTGTCTTTGTAAAATCACAGAAAACAGAGCACTTAAAGATAACTAACCAAATTGTTTGCGGAAGCCATGCTGAGACGGATTAAATATTCACTTAAAACAATGTGAAAAGTTTAAATAATAAATATACCGCTTCTATCCTTTTGAATGCTGAACAAAGAGCTGTCTGTTTCAACAAGGAAGGAAAGATTTTACCTGCCATGATACGGTTAAAATTACATGTAATCAATGGAATAAAGATGTCAGGACAACCTTTAATAATAAATGATGGAGTACCATCTGAAGCGACAGTCGGACGGTTCGTAGTTCTGCTGACTGCAGCGAGGGAGGGAGAGAATTTGGCAGAAAAACTGTCCTGACAGAATGAGGCAGAGTAGCAGTCGAACGAGGTGTTTTAAAGTGGGTTTTAGACGATTAGCAAAGGCACCAGCAATATTTTTGTGCTTTGTAATAAATTACTCAACAATTTTATATTCAATGAAAATTAAATTATTCTCTTTAAGATTAGAAAAATATTTCAAAATCGATTTGGCTGAGATTAGAATTAAGATCAACAAAAATGAATCATTGCTCCCTTTCTGACTTAATTGTAAATTTCAGAAGGCTGTGAAAAACATAAAAGAATGTATGTAGAGATTTTTACAACGATGAAAGAACTGATTTGTATTATAAATTACACGTTTCTGAATACCATAAAATAAACATGGAACTTGGACTTTCTAGTACACGTATAACGAATGGTTTCATTTGCAGAATCCGTAAGTACGCAGTTAAGTTGATTAAGAGCAGAGTCAACACAGGACTGCTTATGCACACAGGGCCCAGTCATAAGAGGATACAATTTCTCAAGCACAGTCTCCACTGGCTTAGGTACGAAAACATTAGGATTTCGAAAAGAAATTTAATATAATGGGGTCAATGTACAAAGAGGATGGTAAATATCACTAATAAATAACGTAAAATATGAACGGTTACTTCAAAGAATTTGTGGACATAACAGATATAATAGTGAAGTTGTTTCTCTGAAGTTCAATAAAACATGTATCGCTTTTAATAATATCACCTTTAAATTTGGAGATGTAATGCGAATTATCTGAGGGCAAGCCATTAACACAATTCATAGCGAGAAACATTAAATTCGCCTATGAAAACTACACGAACTTGTGTCTAACTTGGTTTTGAAAGTAATGACACAATTTTCAGTTAATTTATTGTCTGATTTAGGTGAAAAACAATGATTTTCTACTGTAAAACAAAAAATTTAACCGCGTCAAATGATAGTGTGATTAAAAATAATGAACTGGAAAATATGTTGAAGGAAAAGGTCTTAGTTTAATTTGACGCATTATCCCAGCATTCGTCTGGAGTGATCGAGGAAAATCACGAATTATGCGGTTAACCGGACTTCGAGCCAAGAACTGAGCCAGCGACCCCCAGGTAGAGTACTGAAAAACCACTCTACTGCATCAATTGATAGCATACACTAGTGAAACAGATTGTCAGTTAAAATACGTCAATATCTCTATAAACGGCATTTGCAGTAATAATGTTCACCAATCAATTAAATTATTTAAGTGGTTTGTAACAGTCAAACAAGGCCAGTCACAGTCGCACAGTAGAATAATAATACAGTATAAAAATTATATAAGGAATCTACAGATGACCCAACAGGAGAAAAATAACATTACAAAACAAAGAACGTAGTCTAAATATGCTACGATATGAAAGCTGCAGAGTATGGCCACAGAAAAGAGGACAGGAGGTCTAAATATAACTAATGTTATGAAATGTCAATGAGACGGAAGAATATCTAATTTTTGTTTTTAAGTACATGAATAAGGAATAAGGCATTTCGACCATGTCTGTAATAAACTGTTGACGGATCCAGTCTAGCAAGCACACATTAACAACGTTTGCAAAAATAGCTTACAAAAAAATACACTATAGCATATGGCAGTACTTTTTAACTCTGTCTAGTTTGGACGAATTCGTCAATACAACGTACGAGGTGCGATCGGAAAGTTTAAAGACTGTATCAATAGAGGGCGAACCGGATGTAATACGAGCTTCTGCCGCTAGGGGGTGCGACCTACATTCATAGTGAATCAGTGTGCCAGCCGGCATCATCGAATTAGCATTTGTTTCTTAGTTAAGGGCGTTTTGGTAGTGCATTACACCGACCCTCCTGCGATTTCGGAATGGCGTGTGCATCAAATTTTGCCAAAGACTCGCCAAAACGGCTACGGAAACCTATGAAATGCTAAAGCAAGCATTTGGGGAGTCCGCAATGGGTCGTGCACAAACTTTTGTGTGGCATTCACGTTTTAAAAACGGCCGAACTTCTGTCGATGATGACGAGCGTTCTGCACGACCATCTTCGAAAACAACGCCCGGAAATGTTACGAAGATTCGGCAGGCCATTCACGAAGATCGACGTCGTACCATAAACGACTTGTGCGACATTGTTGGGATAGGCTATGGGACCTGTCAGCTGATTCTAAAGGAAGAACTCCACATGCGAAACCAAGGCTCCTGTCTGAGGACCAGAAGCAGAATCGACTTCTCGTTTCTCAGGAGCTCAAAGATCCTGCAAGAACCGACCCCAACTTCCTTTCTAAGCTCCGTGTGACTTCTTCCTCTTCCCAAAGATGAAAAATCAGCTAAAGGGAAGGAGATTTGAATTCCGACCGGCAGTTATATATTCAAGCCTGAGTCAAGCAGAGGTTGTAGATTTAACAAAGAAGCTATCACCTTTGAGAATATAAAAGATATCAAGTTCTACATGAAATTAATCCCAAAATGTTTAACTTTGACATTGTATGTAGACAATACGATAAAATTGTTGGAGCCCACTGTCCAGCAGAATTCCAATATCTTTAATATACTAAGGACGTAGAGCAAGATTATTACATAATTTATAATTGAATCAGTCATTTGCAAAACCACATGAATTTGCCTTTTCAGAGAATTGAGCTGTTTGTTACCATGACAATCGCCGGGGTTAATGCATCGTTTTCAACAAGAACCACATCAAGCTAAGTCTTTGCTGCGCGTGGGTAGTCTTGTATATCGTCTACCTGCCCCCAGAAGCACACGAATCATCAACTCACATTTTACCCGATATATTACAGCATTGAAGAAAGACAATCACTTAATCTTCCATTGATATTATACCATATTTATAAAAATAATATTCCAAAAGATACTTTAGCTTGTAATTGTAGTTACAAAAGTTGTTGGTAAAAAATAACTGTATCAAAGAATTAGATACATTTTAATTATTCTTAGAAACACTAAATCAAACTTACAATAAATATTGTATTTTCTTTCATGCTTTTTAAAGTTATTAAGAACTGATTTCTGTTGAGTCATGTGGTTTTAAAAATGATCGACTGAATTAAAATAATACTGATAATTTTACTCGTAAAAATGTAATATTTGTTTTGACAAAGTTAATATGTTCCGATAACCTTAGTCCTGTAAATCTTTTGTTTATTCTTCATTTGTTCGGTTTATATTTTTGATCTAAATAAGTGTACTATTTAATTTGTGGGCTAGTGAGATAAACCTGTGCACAGACTCTTATTCAATTGCATCCTAGTGGAATCAAATTTCTTTACTGCCTGAAATTTTAAACGTTACAGATCACTAATACTAATTTTTAGAGCACATGTTACTTTACATTTTTCATCCGTAACCTTGAAGTTACTTACTGTATCTATGCAGCAATTTTAATAATATTTTAATTTGATAAAACGTTATTAAATGTAATAGCTAAACTGTTGCTAAGGAGAATATCAAATCTTTAATTTATCTTGATGTTAATGTTCCAGCTTGTTAATGTGTTAAAGATAATTATAAGTAATAGCTAAAACATTAGTATATATAAGAGGTTATATTTTAAAAGCAGAAAATATATTTAAGATGAATTACGCAATTAATATATTTTAATCGATATCGTGATCAATAGCTGAAGTGTAACGGAACATGCACGGTAGGTGTTAAATAATATTTTGTAAACAAATGTCACTGCGGTGAGTATTATTAAACAAAGACAGTGACACTAATATTAATACATGATATTTCCATTTGCTAATAAGATATTCAATTGCGTCATAGCGTAAGCATGATTTGGATGGGAAGACATCCGGACGTATTTAAACGTATAATATTCTCATCATCCATCCATTAAAGAAAGGGACTGATGTGGTTTTCGCCTCCTGCCCGTCGATTTTACCTGTCAGTAACACAAAGAAGTAAACAATTTAACTTTAAATAACTTACTTTACAGTGAAGTCCTTCACAAGCTTCTATTATAACCCACAAACATAGACGATGTTTCATTGTAATTTTCGCAATGGATAATGCAAGAAGGAAATTTGTTATAACATGAAATATTTTACCATATTTTGATCCAAAAGACATAAATCATATTATAGAACACTGAAATTTGCGAACATTCATTACACAATAAAGGAAATATGCGTGCAGAATTTTTAATAGTTTGACATGTTTTATTCGTCTTAATTAACATGCTGTCATTCTCCTAGCAAAGGCTTTGTTCGTTTTAAATATTGTAACCTGACTCCCTTTGTTAAACTCCAGGTGGTTCAGAGCTTATAATGTAGCAACAAAGACTGACAGAACCTGCAGGAAACTGCGTTATGTATTTTGTTAAAATACAGATTGCTTTTATATAGAATGTCTTGAAATTTCATACCGAAAAGATACACAGTGTTATTCTATGATAGAAGCTGAATAAATAAGCTGCTATAACGCAAATGGGGCCCAATGGGAACAGATACCAAGATATGAAATGTTTTATAGTTCGAAGATTATCGTAAAAGATATCAAACATAAGAATAATTGCAAAAAATCTATTATCGAATGCACAAAACTCACACACAAGTAACACATGAATCTATGGTCCTTATATAAATCTCAGTGTAGACAGTGAATATTTCCTTGAACAGCGTTAATATATTTTAACAACTTTAACGGGTATAATTTTGTCTCTGTTTAAACAAAACATGTCCAGATGACGGAGCTCGACTCCCTGGTCTTGTGCTAAAACATCTGGCTTACTATTAAACCGTCCATTCATTACATTACATTTTATCGCTGTTACTTTACAGTATTCATCGTGCTTTCGCATTAACTTTAATCTGAATTTATCATGTCTTTATATTCATGTTTATCATTCTTTCCCACTTCTTCATATATCTACTTAAATACAGTCAAAAATTCCTGACAAATCTCTTATTTTTACATCTATTTCTTCAACGATATTTCAGAATTTCTTACGCAGAATGTTTTCCCTCCAAATTTCCTTTCCATTACATATCAAAATGTGGCCTAGGTCCTCCCCCTTTCTGCATAAAAATCAAATTGAAATTTATACATTTTTCCTGATACCTTTCACTACGTTTTATAGGTTAAGGTATCGCCTAATAAGCTCGACTCTTCAATTTCTAATAACACTTTCCAATACTTAAATACCCGTTCTAACACCTTTTCCTTCCCGATTCCGCCATTCTCAATCCTTCTGTCCCACTAGTTACGTCTTGTCTGGTCTCCTTTCCACTACTATCCAGAATTACTCCCAAGTATTTCATTTAATTTGCTACCTGTCTTCCCAATTTCAAGTTTTCGTAATTTTTTTTTAATTTTCCCCTCTTTCTTGAAAACTACTACCTTGGTCTTAGTATTATTTATCTTAAATTTCCATTATTCATCGCCCCTTGCATTCCCATGACAGATAAATTATCTACAAATCGCAACCCCAAAATATTTCTGTTCTTTACTATTGATGGATGTATATTTTTTTCGTATCGAAGACTTTGTTTACGTCAACAAACATTCAGCATATTTTAATTCTTTCGTTCTTATCACAAAAATATTATCTGAGGTACTTAGTCCTGTTCTGAAACTCATCTGATATTCTGATATTGAACCACTGATTTCAAATAAAATCATTAAATTTTTTAAAACATTTACGTGTACATTTTCTGCAATGTTGACAGTAATGCTATTGATTTTTGTAAGGTTGAAACGGAGTGTTTTATTTGAGGTACGGACTGAATTATTAAGTAATATTGAAACGAGAATCGGTTTCAAAGGATTAAACACGTACCGATATTAGAACAAAAATATCTGAAATTTTATTCTACCAGAGACGATACACAATGGACTTATGCCAATTCCGTCTTGAAAGTTTTTGCATATTCTTTTTGAAAATATGTGAATAGTTTATGATGTTTATATCAGCAACCCATAGAAACAAAAGAATGGGGCAATAGTCGAGCCATCATCGCAGTACTGAACTTGAGGAGGGAAATTTAGTACAGCGGAGGTGGTCGGTAGAGGCGCATGTGTCTGCTAGTCTCGTAGCTGTTCGATACGGCAACAGCGCCACATCGATGTCGGAAACAAATGAACAGCGGTAATCAGGTGCAGATACGACATCCGTGTGTTAAATAATAATTTTTACGTCTAGAAGAGATTGTTTCAAAGTGTTTTTTAAAGTAATCTGTGTCGAAACTTCAACTAAAACATCATAGACCACCAGAGTAAAGGAAACAACATCGTTTATACGTGATTAACATCTGACCAATGAGTGTAGATGTGACAAACAGCAACCAGCCATTGTAGCACATTCCCTCTTCACGTGTACAAGCAACAAAACTGTTATACAGTGAATTAAGTCAAGCGAATAGGAAGGGATCATTCATGTGACTTCTGTTTGTGCTGTGTACTAACGAATTAATAGATTAATGGACAACGACTCAGTTTGGTAGGCAACACAGTAGAGGACAGTATAATGTGTATCACGCATCCGTGTAATCGTTATGCTTGAGTAACATATTACTACGTGTTTATCGAACTGACTTAATGTCTGCCGGTTTTACGTGAACAAACAGAGAGAAGTTTGCCCATTGTAGCTCTTGGATTAACTGCTAGTGAAAGGACATTCTCTCTTTGTTACGTCATCTAGAAAAAAGGTGATTATAGAATATAGATTAGGAATGTCGAGTTTAATTTAAATTCTGTTGTGTTAGAAATTAAAATTGATACAAGCAGAGGAAATGTGAATTTTTTTTATCGATGTGTACAACATTATTTGAGAAGTGAAATCTATATTTGATGCCCTAGAGATTTTTTGCGCGAATATACTGGTTAAATTCTGGTGTTAATTTTCCGTTCGTTTTATTCGTAATTAGTTTTGAAACCAGCTTGCAGTTTTCGTCGTTAAAAAAGAGAGAGATATTATGTCTGAGGTACAAAACCCGACGTTTGAAACCTAATCTGAGGGTGAGAAGTGTGTGGGATAATAGTGAGTGCAAGACTATGGGTTATTTGAAGCAGTGATATCGCTGTGGAACTGACGATGGCCGGAACTGCAGAATTCAGTGGTTTCCTAGGCAGTCTTCTACTCCATGTCCTTGTGGCCACAATTCTCGCACGCACAGGTGAGTCGATTCGAGTCTTGTCGAGTAAAACGCGTTTATGATACGACCCATTTCAACCGATTCACTGATTATTGCTTAACAGACATGACGCGAAGTTTAATGATAAAATATTTTGGTGTAGTTTATATTTAATTACATAAATTTATTTGGATAAATATCTAACGGATCGATCACTTGTCTCTCCATCTACAAACGTTTTTTTTAAAACGCTTAGCTGGATCTCTAATTCTCTGATATTTTCGAGGCGTTTGCTTCATTAAGCGCAACGAAAACTTATACTTTTGTTTTAAATAAAAATACTGCACATGTAGTTGGAAAGGCTAACAGAACTGTCAGTAATATGTGATACACCGCATTGAACTAATAAACTGTTCCACTATACGCCATGTATACCCTTGGGGGGAGAGGAGGTATAGCTCCTACTAATTCTAAACCCAGGCACTAGATGGGGTGAGTGGTTAGAGTCACGTCCCGGCCGTGCTTTAACCCCTGGAAAGGACCCCGGTACCCATCGGGTAGGAGGCCGGTCTGGACGCAGCCTAGAGGAAGAATTCTCTGCCCCGGCCGGGGATCGAGCCCCGTTCGTCCAGTTTGTAGTCAGTCACCTTACAAGAAATATTTCGTTTTGGTTTCTTTAGTAACTGTGGCTGAGTGAATGGGACAGAGTAGATCCTGTAAGTACCAAAGGCGACATTCGAGCAAACAGATGCATCAGCTCTGCACATATTAACCGTCCTTTGTATAGCTTTAAGCTACTTAATGATACTCTAACTTACGAATTTAAATGTCTTTGTCTCGTGCTAGAAATGTTTCATAACCTTACAGTACCTAATCGAGGCTTTGCAGTGACATTAGGGCGAGGAGCTGTTTACGTAGATCCATTTTCAAAGTCTTATTTAGCCCTTTAATTGTCAAATGTGGGTTTGATAGACCCGTAAATTATCACTCTGGCATTTAACCACATAATTTAAAA